GCCCTGCAAATTATAGGGGTGTATAAAATTTAAATGGGATTGAAAAGTAAACCCAGAGCAATACTTTAAGAAACACCAAGGCACTCGGTTTTGACTTGTAAATGGTAATTTCAGGACAGATACCAGGAAAATTTTCTTTACTCAAAGGGCAATTAAATGACTGTAACTGGTTGTCAGTAAGGGTGGATGAGGTCAGACATTGCTCTCATTTAAAAAGATTCTTTATATTGCAATGGGAAGGATAATAATAATAATAAACCTTGCATTTGATATAGCGCTTTTCACGTCAGGAGGACGTCCCAAAGAGCTTCACAGAACAGGCCTTCTTCATCCAAGCTAATCTTATGATGTTCCAGGATCTGAAACCATTTTTGTCCCCCATTCTTTTGTGAAACCTTAAATGTTGTACTTTATAGATGTAGCTATAACTTGATACTTAACAGGTAGTTATTTTTCCCAGATAGTATTGACAGAGTATGACTTGCCTTGGTGACTGTGATCTTAAGTTCCCAGCACAAGTTAGATACAATTCGAGAACACATCGATGCCAGATAAGTTAACAAGCAGACTTCATCTCTTTTTACTGAGCACATTTGGAATGTATGATCATTTCTGGTGAACCAGAAAGGAACAAGTGTGAGAATAATCCCTGCGAATAAATGATTACAGCAAATTTGCAATTAATTCCAAAAGCTATTAGCTGTCCCCCCCCAAACCCCTTCTGAACCATCTCTTGTGCCCAATGCTTTGCTAAAATCTAAACATAATAATCTTTGCATTTGTTGTAGCACCTTATCACTCATCAAGAAGTCTCAAAGTGCCCCACAGGACACACTACATAATGGTGTGACTATGGGTGAACTTCATAAATGTAACATAATTTCATAAATGTTTTGTCAAAGAAATCAAATAATTTGCATCCACAATAACCTTCTATAAAGCCATGTTAAGCTCCTCTTACAATTCCATATTTCTCCAGAGCTCCATATAATACTCTTCATTTATTACGTAGCAAATATAATTTATTTGGGAGGGAATATTCTCATTTTTCTTCATAAATCTTCAAACCTTAGTCTGCCAGCCACAGCTTGACTTTCTGTTTCCTCTGTGGTGAATTGGATCATTATCTATCACAAATTTTCATATCGATGCAGGATATATTTGTTAGGTTATATGTGTAGCTCGTGAAGACTTATAATAATGCTGGCCTCCTGACTGGAAGTTATGTGTCAGGTATTTCCTTCTCCAGACAGCTGCTATTAAGAAGAAAATAATAGCAACAATATACAGCAACAACAATTTACATTTATGTGGCAACTTTCATGTTGGGGATGCATCTCAAAGTCTAAGATGGGGAGTGGGTAAAAGATAACAAGAGATGTTTAGATGAAACAGGCCCATTTAATCTCATTTTTGCAGAGCACCCATCCTAATGCCTCCTCCCCATACAATATTGAGCTGATTTGTAAATGAGTCTAGGGTCTTTGATTCAACCATGGTTTTGGTCATCTTGTCCTCTCCTTCAGCTCCCCCCATCCTCAGGCTCCCAGGCAATTCTGTAAAGTGCTGTGAGACATCCTCCCAACCTGAAAGGTGTTTGATAAATGTAAAATTGTTGTTGTGTACAAAATGTTTTTGAACCAAGAAGGCCAACTAAAGTAAAATTTAAATGTCTTATCTTTTAGATTCTCTACCAGACAGCTTTCTTTTATAACCAACCTTTATTCAGCTGCCTCCTTAAACACTTCACAATATTCCCCTTCCCTGCCCAGTCTCAGTTTTTTTTAAAAGTGATATGTCCGTGGATATAAGCATTCCTTCCTCAGGAAGGATGACAAAATAAGACAGCAAACAGAAATACCCATTATTCTTATGCATTAAATGCACTGCATTTGATATTTGTCCTTAAAGAATAATACTACTTGCATTTGATATACCAACACATTTTGCCCTCATTCGGACGTCTCAAAGCCCTTCACAGAATATACTGCAATGTGAATTGACTATATATTTTCCTAATGTGAACTAACATGAAATGCATTTAAGTAATACTGCAGACTGTTTTGTGGGTCAATATTAATACCATATTTTCATATTGTGCAGGAGGCAATGGGCAGCAAAATATTTTCAGACCTTCATAGGACTTTATTAACCTCATCAGCCAAAAACATCTCAATTCCATTTTATGAAAGCAGATGTGTGCTCTGCTATCATTGTGAATAGAAAAGTGTACATCTCTTTATATTCAGGATTGGAGGCTTGGGAATTAAATCTCACGCCACAGCAGACCAAAGCCTTCATTACCTGCCAAAGAAATCATGGAATTAAATGGAATAGAAAATAAACACTGAGTGAAAACCCTTAGGTATCCGTTTTTGAGTGCCTTATTTAGCAGCCATTCACAGTGAATTATCCTTCTCCAAACCTCCCATGTAGTCCAGAACCAGCAAGGATGAATTGTCATGGACTCCTGCAAGTTAATTGGCTAAGACATTCAGAAACACACACTACCTGTCATCTGTCATTGAACAGCATAGAAGCTTTCCTCATCACAGTAGATGTGGTCATTCTCTGAAGGAATACAGATGAGTTTAATCAAAGCCAAAACACTGAAAGTTCCTCTTACACCCTTTAGCAAGAAGGGTAGTAGTGGCTACGACACTGAACATCTTTAAAAAGCACTGTGATGCAATGGGAAGATAATAGAGTTGATGTTCTGAAAAAATGAAATCAATTGGATGAACTGCTTTTCTTACTGAGCTTCTTTTGTGATCTTCTGAAGTAAGGCGAAAATTATTTTACAAATAATGATTTTGACTGAGGTCTGAAATGTTGTTAGTATTTGCTGAAAGATAAGCATTGCAATTGGCTTCACTGTTGCCAGCAATGGACCGCCAATGAAAGGTTGACAATTCAAGAGCTCTTCTAATTTCTCTAACAAGTCACACAAAGATTTGTTTGCTAAAACGGAATCTTCCAAAGACGAAGCAGACCTATTTAAAAGATCAATATATGGTATGGCAACCAAACATACTCTATTTCAACCAATCCCAAACAATATACTCAGCATCAAAACAGCATTCAACACAAAATGCACTACTACACTGTCATATAGAGTCATGAAAACAAGATCAGTATGAGGATGAGAAGGCCATTCGACCCATCTGATCTCACTTATCCAGAACACTCATCCTACCTCCTCCCATCACAGCATCAAACTGTTTTAATTGATTCTAGTGGCCAGGCCTCAACCATCCTTCCCGGCAATCTGTTCCAGTTAATTGCCCTCAGAGTAAAGAAAAGCTTTCTGGCTTCTTTCCTGAAGATATTCTTTGAAATGCTAAACCCCATGTCCTCTTGTTCTACCACAGTCTTGGTACAACTTGAAGTACAACTCGGTAAAACCTGGTACAACTCCTGGGACGTCCTCCCAACGTGAAAGGCGCTCTATAAATGTAATTTTGTTGTTGTTGCTTGGCTCCTGGCAGCTCCTCACCTCAACCGCTGACATTATCACTATTCATGGCTGCACTCTTTACCTCACCAATACAAAACCTTGGTGTCCTTTTCGACCCTCAGATAACCTTCAAACCCCAATACCGTGACCCGTTCCATCTTTCCACACCTCTGCAACATTGCCCACCACCGCCGCTGCCTTTCATTGCAGGCCCTCCGAGACCTTGATCCACTCTTTCATTACATACCGGCTTGACTACAACAACTGCCTGCTCACTGGACCTCCCAACTCTTCCCTCCAAAAGTTGCAGATTATTCAGAACTCTGCAGCTTGTATCCTTTCCCACAACACACTCTGGGAACCTGTCATCCCCGTTCTTGCCTGGCTTCACATCAGAGAATCAAGTAAAAAACCCTCGCTCTTACCTTCAAGGCCCTCCACGGTCTTGCTCCCCTACCTCTCCAACCTCATAACCCATATCAGCCTGTCCAATCCCTCCGCTCGGCGGACACCGGCCTGCTTAAGCTCCCCTGCACTTCCCGCCCCATGATTGGCAGTCGTGCATTCAGCATCTCTGTCCCCACACTCTGGAACTCTATCCCGCAATCCCCCAGCCTCATTCTCTCTCTTGCCTCCTTCAAGTCCCGTCTGAAGACCTTCCTCCTCGACCGTGCCTTTGGCCACCCTCACACCCCCATCCCTCCCTGCCTTCCTCTTCTTCTGACCCAACTCCCAGCTTGGATCTAAATCCCCTGATTGTCCAACACCTTGGGATATCTTTCTGATGTGAAGGGTGCTGTATAAGTGTACTTTGTTATTGTTGTTGCTTGTAAAGTATCAATTTGGGTCCATGCCATGGAACCCAATTATAAGTAATTTGTTGGGATCCCTAGTGTCTAGAGTGAGCCGAGATGGAACAGTGCGACAGCAGGTTTGACTGCACATGTATTGATTGATCCTTCAATGCAATGTTCGGGAATCGCTGCATTGTCAGAGGTGTCATTACGTAAGAACATAAGAAATGCTAGACATAAAAAAAAACAAGGTCCATCTAGTTCGCCTTTCACCTTTGTGGCAGTCGCATATGTTCCGAACTACCTATGTACTATATCCCATAATGTTATTTCCTGAAAGAAAATGATCTATAAGAACATAAGAAATGCTTGATGAAAAAAATACCAAGGTCCAGGTCATTCTTTGTATGAGACATTAAACAAGATCCTGTTTGCCTGTCCAGATCCCATGGCACTATTCAAAAAGCTAAGGAAGTTTTTCCAGGTGTCCTGCCTGGCTAACAATCCCCCCTGATAAAATTGATCATGCGCTTCATGACTGTTTGTGGGACTTTGAGGTGCACAAAATGGCTACTGTGCTTGCCTACAAAATAAACAATCACTGCACTTCACAGTAAAATCCTGTGCTTTGAGACAACACAATGACAGCAACGACGTGATAAGGGTCTAAAGCAAATGCAAGGATCATTATTATATGATTGAGGACTAACATACTGCTGCAGTAACAGGCAGATAATTTTGGAGCTCACCTGGATTAGATAGTGGGAGCACAACTTGAGTAGCTCCAGCAGCTGAAGATGACTTCCTGCAGCAAGTACATCCTGGACTACACCAGGTTCCAAAAGGATCTGAAAATGAAATACTTAAGTCTTTAAAAAGGAATAACTGTGTAAAATAAATCAACTTTCTGCACCATGGTGTCATGGTTGCAAGTTTGTACCTGTAATGTGAATGCAGAACAGATGCTTTTAGTATTTTATAGTATTTTTATGCCCAGTTGCCTGGGGGCAGTCTCTCATCTCTATCTGGTGAAGCTGCTAGTCTTATGAAAATGATGAGTGCCTCCAGTAGAGCTTGCTGAGGATCAGTAATTCATCACTGAGGTGCAGTATATCCACAGTGCGGGATAGAGTGGGAGGACCACAAAGGATTGGGGCTACAGTCAGTCGTACTCACATGGGATTATGAGGAGACTAGAGATTTATTATAAATCAAGCTCTAGCTTCACCTTTTTAAATACAACAGGATAAAGAAACACTATTTGGCCTTATTTCTTACTTTGTCAATCGTTTGACCAGTTCATGATCTGTTGGTCAGTGCAGTGTATTTAAATGCCTTTTATGTGAAGCTGTTGCCTCTCACTCTCTGGCACATCTGGTGCGTGAGAAAAATTAGCTAGTCCAAATTGCTGTTTTTGTGCAATTATGGGTTTAAATTTACTGCAAATCCTAGTACATTAAAGGATATTAGGTACACTAAGTGAACGTGACGCAAATTGCATAGGCTATGGAGATATAACAGTAAATTGCCCGTGTATCATCTAAATCAGCAAAATGTTCTTATTACATTATTAACTCATCTTATTTAAATCAAATCGAATATATCTTTCACAAGAGTAAAATAAATAAATTGTTAATAACATTTTAAAGAGGATTCCTTCCATTACTGCTTTGAATTGCATTTCTCCCTCCTTTGAATTTCTGGCATTTTATTTTTTGCTTTTTTAAAAAATAAAGCTTGGAAGCAGTGAGATTGAAATCCAGTACTGTATTTCACACTGTAATTTGCTTACATGCCACTAGGCAATACTGCATCACCATCTAGTGGTAGAAATACATGCAGCAAGAAATCTTCAAAAAATAAAACAAAATTACATTTGTAAAGCGCCTTTCACGTTGGGAGGACATCCCAATGCGCTGAACAGTCAGGGATCAGGACCCGAGCATGGGGGGGCAGAGTTGGGGCGAGGGAGGGCAGAGAGGTAGGAGAACGGCTGAAGACATGGTCGAAAAGGAGGGTCTTCAGTCGTGCCTGAAGGAGGCAAGAGAGGGAGCAAGGAGACGGGATTGTGGGACATGGTTCCAAAGCATGAGGGCAGAGGGGCTGGAAGCCTGACTGCTGATGGTAGGATGGGTCGAGCGGGAGACATGGAGCAGGCGGAGCTTCCTGAACGGAGGGAGCAGGTCAGCAGATCAAAGAAGTAGGAGTGGGCAAGGCCATGGAGGGCCTATGAAAGTGAGGATGACGATTTTGAATTCTATCCTCTGAGGGATGGGGAGCCAGTGGAGCTGAGCGAAGGGGGTGGGGGAGGGGGGGGTGATGGCATCACAGAGCCTGGGGCGAGAGAGAACTCAAGTTCTGGATGACCTGCACCATGTGGAGGGAAGAGTTGGGAATGCCTACAAGCAGGGCATTGGCATAGTCGAGCCTGGTTGCAATGAAGGCATGTATGAGGGTTCCAACAGCCTGAGGGGTGAGGCAGTGGCAGAGTTGGGCAATATTTTGGAGGTGGGGGAAGGCAGAGCGGGTCATAATGCGAATGTGGGGGAGAAAGGGAAGTTGAGGGTCGAACGAAACGCCCAGGTTCCTGACTGGCTTGGTGAGGTGGAGTGTGCATCCGTGGATGCTGATGCTGCCAGTGATTGAGGTGCGGAAGCATGGGTGTGATTCAATCTGGAGGACTTTGGTCTTGTTGACATTCAGCTGTAGAATGGGTGCGAATGACACCCAACTCTACCTCTCTGCCTCCACCTTCAACTCCAGGACTACTGGCGTCCTGACCAACTGCCTGTCCGACATTAAGTCCTGGATGAGGGACAACTTTCTCCAACTGAAATTCAGCAAGACCGAGGCCTTCCTGATTGGCTCGTGCCAGTGCCTCCGCACCTCGTGCGCTGGCAGCATCAGCATCCACAGCTGCACACTCAACCTCACTAAGCCAGTCAGGAACCTCCTCATCGGCTTCCCAACTCTTCCTTCACAAGCTGCAGATCATCCAAAACTCTGCAGCTCAAGTACTCTCGTGCACCAGGCTCCGTGACCCCATCACTCCCACCCTCGCCCGACTCCAGTGGCTCCTCATCCCTCAGAGAATCAAATTCAAGATCCTCGTCCTCACTTTCAAGGCCATCCATGGATGACCTGCACCTTGCCCCCTCCTACCTCTCTGACCTGCAAACCCGCCCACTCCCTCCGGCCTGCTCCATGTCTCCCGCCCAACCATCGGTGGCCGGGCTTTCAGCCTCTCTGCCCCCATTGGAACTCCATCCCACAGTCATTTCACCTCATTTCCTCCCTTGCCTCCTTCAAGGCCGGTCTCAAAGACCCTCCTCTTCAATCGTTCCTTCAGTCACCCTCCCACCTCTCTGCCTTCCCTGACCCCTACCCCACCCCTCCCCCATGCTCGGGTCCTGACCCCTGACTGTCCAGCGCCTTGGGACTTCCTCACGACGTGAAAGGCGTTCTATAAATTTGATTTTTTTGTTGTTGTAGAGAGTTGGCTCTCATCCAGGACTTGATATCTGACAGACAGTTTGTCAGGACGTCAGTTGTCCTGGGATAAAGGGTTGGAAACAAGATTGTCTATAAAACAAGTCTACTGCAAAGAAAGCCACCAAGTTAGCTTTGGATCGATGGAAGCTGAGGTACCAGGGAGGGATGTAAAATTCAATCAAGTGGCAATCATATTCTTCACAAGCTAAAGGATGCTCCTATCCCCTTTGGGAAATTAGAATATTAATAATAAAGAAAAGGCAAGGAAATAGGATTAAAAGTTCTGCTGCATAGCCTGAAAAGGAAGGGCGAAAAGGCTGAATAGCGTCTAGTTCCTCTGTTACTATGACTAACAGCTAAGCTAAACCTGAAATCACTCTAACCATCAATTTCACTACAATTTTTTCTGTATGACCATCTTTCTTTTGAAAGACTGAGATAATGTGCCATATGTTTAATTTGTTGTGTCTCCAGTGTTAGCGGAATGAGCCATGAGCAACTATTAGACAAGCTAGGGCTATTCTATAAATTTATAAATGAGATTGAGAAAGTAAAATCAGAACAATTCATTCGGCTGCACTGAAACAGAAGAATAAATATCTTATATAGGTTTATAGTCGTAGAGTGCAAATTCAGGACAGACACCAGGAAGTATATCTTTACTGAGAGGGTAATTAATAATTGGAACAGATTGGCAGGAGTGCTATGATAGAAAGATAGTGGGATGGGTATTTTGGAAGCATGAGATTAAATGGATTGATAGGCCTTCTTCATCAAAACCTCTCTTGTGATCTTCTTGTGAATAAAACCAAAAGGTTTTCAAACTATATTCAAAATCATAGCACATTAAGGATCTAGCTTTGGGACATTGAGCTTATCAGTTTATTTAAAAATATGGCATGTTTTAGTGTTGGTTTTAGGTTAACAATATCTTCCACGTAAACAATACGTTTTATGTAAGATGATCATTTTGAAATGTTTCACAGAGAAACAATAATAATGATCCTTGCATTTGACATAGAGCCTTATCATGTCTTCTAGACATCTCAAAGCGCTTCACAGTATGGAGCAACAAGAAAGAAGGGGAGGAAGGAAAAAGTGTATGGTGTTAACCAAAGCACTGTCAAAGAGTTGGGTTTCTAAGAGGCTTCTGAAGGCAGGGAGAAGGTGCCAAAGGAATTCCCCTCCCGCCTTCCACAGGTCTCAAAGGTCAGTTGTGTGAAACGCTTTGAGACATCTGCCTGACATTAAATGCTCTTTGTAAAATTTAAATTGTTTTGTTTTTATTAAAAGGATCCAACTAACCTTAAATACCACATTCCTTCACTGTTAAAACACGTCTTTGTGCAAAATGTTACATGATCCGCAACACATCTTTCTATTTATTCTATTGTCACTGCCACTTTGCTGAGTCTGCTGCTTGATTCAATACAGAGTTTAGGCATTCTTTAGTGAGTCAAGAGTTTGAACATCTATTGATCCAGTACTGCGCTTTCACAGAATGGAAGAACAGAAAAATGACCCTGCAGTTTCACAAGGCTACCAGTTTGGGTCCTGGGTAAATATGGCTGATATAGGCTTTTCAATCTTAAAATAAATCAACATAAAAAAAATTATTTGCAGATAAGTCATTAGATTCAGACCAATGCAGTTCATTTGGGAAAATATTGTGTTTCAAGATCCTCACATTTGTGTTCAAATCCCTTCACTCTCTGGCACCTCCCCACTTCTCCGATCTCCTCACTCCCCAATCCACCACCTCCGCTCGACTGGCACCGACCGGCCTCCTGCTCGTCCCTCACACCCTCTGCCCCACCATCGGAGGTCTCGCTTTCAGCCACTATGCCCCGAAACTCTGGATCACTCTACCTCAATCCCTCCGCCTTGCCCCCTCTCTCCCCTTTTTCAAGTCCCACCTGAAAGGGCTTTACAAGAGTAGGGAAATCTTACTGCAATTGTATAGGGCCTTGGTGAGACCGCACCTGGAATACTGTGTGCAGTTTTAGTCTCCTTATCTAAGAAAGGATACACTCGTCTTAGAGGGGGTGCAACGTAGGTTCACTGGGTTCGTTCCTGGAATGAGGGAGTTGACCTACGAGGAGAGGTTGAGTAAATTAGGCCTATATTCTCTAGAATATAGAAGAATTAGAGGTGATCTTATAGAAACCTATAAGATTCTTAAGGGTCTTGACAGGGTAGATGCTGTGAGACTGTTTCCCCTGGTTGGAGAATCTAAAACTAGGGGTCGTAGTCTCAGGATTAAAGGTCAGCCCTTTAAAACTGAGTTGAGGAAAAATTTCTTCACTCAGAGGGTAGTGAATTTATGGAATTCTCTACCCCAGAAGGCTGTGGATGC